GAAACAAAATCGCGAAAGTAAAAATCCTTCTTTACAAAACTCTAGCCTTTTATACCAAAGGCAGAATACGTCTCAACGGCTGTGATTAACCCATCTAACGGCTGCAAAGACACTGTTTCGAATTGGATGGTTAACCCCAAACGGTAACGTTTCGAACTCGACGGTTCGTTTTTAACATCTGCCCGTTGGGCTGTTACATTTATCTTTTTACAGCGACATTTATTACGCACGTCATTCAGAGGACAACTGTCGCGTCGCGCACCACCTCTATGTCAGACTTCTTAGATGGGCCCGCTTAAGCCCATTTCAACACTCTTGCTCACTTTTGTCCAATTTAAATTTTGCTCAAGTATTTTACTTCGGCTCTGGCCTCAGTGACCCAGTGTCACACGTTTCACTTCGGCTCCGGCCACAGTGACCTAGTGTCACATGTTTTTGCTTCGGCTCCGGCCATAGTGACCCAGTGTCACATGTTTTTGCTTCGCCTCCGGCCTCAGTGACCTAGTGTCACATGTTTTACTTCGGCTCTGGCCACAATGACCCAGTGTCACACGTTTCACTTTGGCTACGGCCACAGTGACCCAGTGTCACACGTTTCACTTCGGCTCCGGCCACAGTGACTTAGTGTCACACGTTTCACTTCGGCTACTGCCACAGTGACCCCGTCTCACATATTTTACTTTGGCTCCAGCCACTATGACTACGGTCATTATTTTTATTGCGGCCCTAGCCACTGTTCCTTGCTATGGCTCTTTATTTCATTATCCGCTACGGCTATACATACTTTTGCAGTACAGATTTTCGTTTTTATCTCTGTAACTTATCTATCTTGTATTTTCTTTCACTCCTATTTATGCACTACCCCTATCACTCCCAATAACATCATTCACAAATGAATGACTTCGGGGGGGAGGGGGGAGATAGTGTAAGGGCAGGTCTGAGGTGCTCAACCTCGGACGTACGGTAGTAATTCTTTTACAACCGAAGTAAGGAATAAATCCAGAGCTTCCCGCTCGAACAGCAGCATAGCAGTTACGATGGACATCCTCACATCAAATCCTGAATATCTTGCTTGGCTCAATCTCCGGGTCCCAAAATAACTGCTTGGAGATACGCATCAAATCCCGAAATAACTGCCTGGAGATACACATCAGATCTCGAATATTTTGCTTGGCATGCCACGTGGTTTCTTCATGGGAACATATAAATACCCCTCAAGGGCCACGCCAAAAGGTAATTGAAACCAACCCTAAGCTCCTTGTTTCTCCGCTCTAAAGGTAGCCCCGATTATTGCTGACTTAAGCATCGGAGTGTCTACCCCGAGGATCCACCTCGGGGCTTTGCAGGTCAATCCAGAGTGCAGATACAGACTGAAGAAGGACTTCTGGTTTGGTGCAGTTACAATTCCCTAGATATTTTATTTTTATTTTTTATTTTAAAAAAATAAATTATTGCACTCAGACCAATCACAACCCGAGTGCAAACTGCACTCTGCATTTCCACTGCTTTTGGGTAAGAGAAGGTGTTCTTGAAGTGGATTGATCACTACTAGTGATTGTTTGGTTTGGAAGAATGGTTACCAACAGGATCGGTAAAAGCCATAAACTAGGCTTTATTTGATCAGCTGCTAAGGGTATGTTAAGCTTGTATTATTAGCTTGAAAACCACGTGACATATGAGATCTACATGTGAGGAGAGCATGTGAAGTGAGAAAATATCATAGTGAAGAAATAACAAGCATGTAAGTTAAATTCAAGAAATGTTATTTTATTTATTACCAATTCATTTTAGATGGTAACTTTACTTTGTATTTTAATCCATTTATAAAATATTCAAATGATATCAAAATCCAAGTTTTGTTTCTTGGTGGCCTGAAATCTTGTTACTAATCAAGCTTACACGTAAGAAGAGCATGTTAAACCCTTATTGTTAGCTAGAGATTTATATGACAAATCAAACATATACATAAAGAATGCTTTTAAGTCCATAACTTGAGATGCATATGTCAAGATTCAAAATCTAACACAACCATATTGCTAGCTCAAGATTCACGTGGTAGATTATACCTATGCGTACATGAAGAATTAATGCCTCTTAAATCCATAACTTGAGATGCACATGTCAAAACTCAAAATTCATTACAAGCTTGCACATGAAAAGGGAGTGTTAGGTTAGATACAAATCTCATGTTTTGAAGCCTATCTACATGTTCAATTTTCTCACTCCCATCCCCCTTCAACTAAAATTGTGGAGAACCCGACCCAAAAGTGCAAGGACAAATCTTAGGCACACTGTCCTAGCAAAGGACTCGCACAAGCTAAAACGCTAGTGAGATTTCATGTCATTTTTTAATCAAGAATCAATATGGTATTCGAATTGATTTAGCTAACAAATGCGCATATAATATATATATATATATATATATATATAAAATTAGGTTTTAAAATCGCATTATGCGTGATTTGTTTATGTTGGACTTTTTTAGTAATTATTAAATATAATAATATTAATTCATAATTAAAATTAATTTTTAATTAATAATATTTAAATAATTTTAAACACATATTAGTTTATTATAAATAGATTTTTAACTTTTATATCAATTTAAATTTTTTGAGATAAATATGATAGAGTTGCTAGTGAAAGTCTTCATTTTCTTTATTATTGCATCTATAAATATTATTATTATATATCTTTTTTTGTCCCATCTCTCCTAAATTGCTCATATTAGAAGCTTTTAAGTCAAAACATAAATGATACGAATTATTAACATTATTCTTTTGGTTCTTTTTCATTTATCTATGCTCCATGTTTTATTAATTTTTATTTTCATATCATCTTTTAATTTTTCACATGTTTTATTATTATATTTATCTATATACTATATTTGTCATCACTTTCTCTCTCTATATTAAATATACTATTATTCCAACTTTCTCCCACCCTTTATTTATATTATACATGTTGTAAGTCCAAATATAAAAGATACAACTTTTTAACATTATTCCATTGATATTTCTGTTTGACTAGTGCACCTTTACCCATCTCTCCTTAATTTTTTCTATGACATCATCTCTTAACTTATCATTGCACATTTTCTCTCTATATTTATCATTCTAAACTATATCTACCATCACTTTTCCTTTCTATATTAATAGTTTATTTGTTATTATTCTTTTTTCTCCTTACCACTCTATGTTATTAATTCTCCTTAGTCGTCCCTTTTCATCTTTTTTTTTTTAATCCAATTTTCCTCCTTTTATCTATCACTAGGTATTTTACGTTTTCTCATTATTACAATAACATATAAATATCTTCAAATCATAAATAATTCAATAATATATGCAATAAATTTATATACATATTCACATTATAAGTCTTATCTAATTTTCCTCTTTATATTAGTAATTTATTTTTTATTATTCCTTCTCTCATTGTTCTTTCGTTTCTATTATTCTTTCTTAGTTATTTTTTAAAATCTTCATTTAACAAATATATATATATTTTTTTTACTCTAGTTTTTCCCTCTTGGAACTTTTTTACTTAACTGTATTTCACCTTTTATTAAATTTTCCTAGAATTCCTTCTCTTAACCTATCTTCTCACATTTTGTTATTATATTTATCTATCTATTTTACATTTTTTTATTAGTATCTATCTATTTCGCATTCATCCTCATTTTAATATCTATATATGAATAATTTCTTTGTTATTAATTTTTCTCTCATTATCCTTATTCCCTCAATATTATTTTTTCATTTTCGGTTCTAAATCCTCTAATATTCGAAAGCCACATTGGGCCTCAATTAATTTGGAGTCGAGTTGCATCAGATCCCATAAGGGAGGAAACTCTTCCAACACATATTTATTCATTCACAAGACTCAAATTTGAAATTTTGTTTAAGGGGAATCAATTTTTTTTTTACTCGAACTAACATGTCATTGGTAAATTATTCTTTCATATTCACCCATTACATCTATATTTATTATTATATATCATTTTTACCCCAATTTCTCTCCCTCTCCCTCATTTTGTGTATATTAGAAGAAAAAATGCTACATATACCCTCATCCATTACACACTTTGTTACACACACTCACTCTCCATTACTTTCCGTTAAGTCTCAAACGTACCTAGCCCAACTGATCGGACAGTGAAACAGGAAAGTAAGACCAAACTAAAAAAAGACAAAAATAATTTTCCATTCAAACTCAAAATTCAAAGAGATTGTAGTTGAGATTGAAGCTTAACAACCACCATGACAAAAGCTGAATTTGAGTAAAAAAACTAAAGAAAAATCAAGAAAAGATATTCGATGGAGGAATCTAAAAGGGATCCTCTTGTGAACTCAAAAATCTAGGTTTGCAAGGGATATAAGCTTGTTGTGGAATCCTACATTTGAGTTCATCTTGAAACCCAAAAACTAAGCCCAAATAGATCCACTGCATAACATTGTAGGTTTGGTTTTTGCCAATTTTTTAGGAA